AGAGAGAGAGAGAGAGAGAGAGAACAAGAATAATGTCGGGCAAGAGAAAGAGGCTTGACTAGCTTCACGTCTGGTTTCCACAGCATTACATACCAGCAGCACACGTGCAATGGAACACAATCACATGCGATCCCATTGTAGGATTAAACAGAAAAAAGAAAAGTATACGAAGAAAAGTTGGGTTTTGAGGAATCTTTTGTTTCATAATTGTTCAGCTCACTTCCATTTCGAGTGGAAGTGTTGGGTGAAGAGATTCCAAGGTCGGTTCCACGAGAAGACGACGGCGGATTCCTCTTGACCAGCTGTCGATTGGATTTATTGGAGCATTCATGCTGACGCTGTTTCCGAGGCAATCTCCTTCGATTCCGGTGAACACAGGCAAAGCTTTCAGAGCGAGGTAACATCGTCACAACCAAATTGAAGCTAACGAGTCAAGAAAACTCACCGTCAAGTCCCTAAAAAGTGGTACACATACTCTACATCTGGCCTCTTTGATCAAGTATAAAGTGATTTGGTTTATGGTAGAATTTCCGCACAATCTGATGAGTTGTGTGAATACATTTCATATAAATGACTTACTGGTAGTCTTAAAGCCCCGCTTATAAATGATGAATAAATACTAGTCAATTATCATAGCAAATATAACTTTGCTTCATCAACAATCACACCAAAGAAAGGGATATGCTGAAATGTGTGGACTTCCTTGACATTCACACCTGCCCTTTGACTCAAGGGTACTCGTGAAAATGCGGCGTTGTGGCTAGCGTGTCGAGCTTACACGCTGCACTGTCATGGTTCGAGTCCCGCTGGGGGTGTCGCTATGACCCCAGCTTGGATGAGAACAGCTTTTGAGAAAGCAAGGCAATGTGAAATTGAATGAAAACATCAGCTCTACTCATCAGATTGTGGCAGGATTCAACTGCCAGTTTTACATCACCTTAAACCAAACAGAAGGTATGAAGACCAAGATGGTGTGGCCTTTTGAGTGGTCGCAGTCTCCTTTCGTTGCACAAGGAACGCACCTTGTCCAGAGTCCATTGTATGCATCATCATTTCCAAAGTTGGACCGTGGACGTGGTACTTTCCCAACAATTATTAATAAAATTATTCATTATTAATAATTATTTATATATGAAGGGTATTCACTCTTTTTAGTTTAAGGTGATTAAGGGACTAGTAATTGAATTCTCAGACGTCTGGGAATGTACCACGTCCACGGTTCAACTTTGGAGCTGAGGATGCATCCTACCAACATGATCGAGTTGCGAAGACAAGGTCAAACAACTTTTAAACCAAATGGGTTGAATACATTTCATATTGAAGCATATTTGACAAGCTATAAAAAGTAGAATG